AACACACTCCAAAAAAAAAAAAACCCTTCCTCTTTGAGAGTCAGCTGGCTCTCTCCTTGCTGCCCAGGGGCAGTGCCTAGTGGACTCTTGCCTCTCGTCTGCACGGGGCGCTGTCAATGAGCACAACACAGTTCCTCACCAGGGTTGGTGCAGACGAGCTCGTTCCTGGAGGCGTTGCATACACTGATCATCTGGTTTTGCATGTACAACACTCTGAGCCCTGGGGCATAATTCCCCATGGCCACCTCAGGGTGCAGTATTTCTCAGTAACTCCCCACATACGTACTCGGACTGTGCGTATGCACTGGGGCCTACGTTGGTGCTGGCAGGGATCACCCAGCTCATCCTTCTGCTTCTGGGGTAGGGTTTCCTCTTGCCCCCCCTTTCCGGAAGGATATTTCTTTACTGTCTGTGTCCCTACGTTAGAAGGTAAGCTCCAAATCACTGCTGACATTTCCGTTCCTCTCTTCCAGATTCTGAAATGCTTATGCAGACATATAAATGTATATACATACACATTTTTCAGTAAGTGCATACTTTTTTATTTTTACAGAAATTAGATTGTAATGTACTTTTTGTTCTACAATGTGTTTTTCATTTAACATATCATAAACCTCTTCCAGCTGATGAGATGCTCTACCGTTGTTTTTAAGGAATTCCACTGAACAAATGTCTCATGTCCCTATGATGAGCATTTATTGTATTTCCAAAGTTTTGTCATTGTGCACACAACTGAAATACAGTTACTGTGTTAGTTGAAGACTTAGAAGTGAAATTGCTTTGTTTGCATTTTTTAAAATGAGCATTGCCAAATTACTCTCCAGTACCAACCACCACGAATCTAAGAGGCAAAGAAGAAAGAAAGTGGGGGGCCGGCAGGTGGCATGGTGGTTAAAGGTGCTAGACTCCCACATGGCTAACCATGGTTTGAATCCTAGACCTGGTGACTTGCTTTCTCTCTCTCTCTCTCCTCTCTCTCTCTCTTACACACACATACACACAGTCCTTCTCTGGCCAAGTTAAAATAAATAAAATTAAATGAAACAATTCTTTCTTTTTTTTTTTGAGAGGTTTTTGCTATAGGGCGTGTGTGCTCACCAAAAAGACAGAGAGAGACAGAGAGACGGAAAGCGAGAAATCACCCCCCAGGGGGAATGGCCATGCAGTGATCCCTTCTACGCCACTCTTCTCTTGGGATCCTGGGCATGCACACACACGCACCTGGCGTGAGTTTAAGCCACCAGATCTGGGATTTGAACTGCAGTTGACTACATGGGAGTCCAGCAACATAGCTATTACGCCAACTGCTGGTCCAT